TATCTGATAAATTTATATTATGATTGTAGGGGAAACCAAGAGAAGCAGTGTCTTTTAAAAATAAATCATTACAAGCCGACATGGTTTCAGCAATTCAGTGTAATTTCCGTTTGATTTTCAGTTTTCCTGTGAAAGATCTCAAATTTATCATCTTATGACTGAATGAAGCAGTAATTGTTAAAATATACTTGGTGAACTGCTAATGATCTGTGGGTCATAATTTTATTTTTCTCTGAAAAATTCCTTTAATTTTTTTTTAAATGAAAACCATACATTTCTGGCTACAAGCTCTACACAAAAACTAGGTTATTTTTCCTGACAATATATATTTTCTCAAAGAAAAAAAAATTGTTAATTCAGGTTAAAAAAACTTTACAGCAGGTGAATTTTGCCCTGAACTTCATATATAACGATGAGAGTTTCACTGAGTCAAACATTGTTGGCTCTCTCTCATGCTGCTTAGATCATAGTAACAGATAATAAAGTCTTTTTTCTTGAAAGAGAAATTTATAGGAACTGGTTGCCCCAAAGACATTTTGAGGTTTGGCAGAGATATGTGTGTGTTCAGAAAATAAAGTTCATGTTTAAATATGATCTTATCCTGTAAAATTTTGGGAATTTCCCTTTGTTAGCCTGAGCTTTGGCCTTATTGACATCTGTCTTAACTTTTGAGTTGATGTTATCTTAGTACTGAAAAAGCTTATCAATATTACATATATGCAAAAATAGGGAAACAGTAAAGATGTTGATATCTTTTTCGTTGGAATGTGAAATGAGATGTAGACTAAGGAGAACTCCTCTGTGCCGCTTTGATGTAGCAGCATGTAGACTAACAAAGGGAATCCTTCCAAGAGACTCTGAGAGTTGAGCAGCTGTAAGAGGTACAATCAAGCTCTTAAGATTCACCTTAGCAGAGGTAAGGAATGGCAAGGAGGGAACTCAATAACACTTATCTTTCAGAAACAGCAGTCATCTGACCTAAAACATCTGCTGATGGGTTATGGTTCATATGCATAATGGCAGTATCAGTTTTAAGGCTTTCACACATATACTGTTAAATAAGCCTCTGTCTAGGCAGACAGGCTGTAGTCTGGTCTCTCTGAAGTAAAAAAAAAAAAGAAATTAAAAAAAACCCCAAACGCTCTGCTTCTTTGGAGGTCATACTGAAAGAGGGAGAAAGTGCACCAGCATTTGGGTTCTCACCCAATTCTTTCCACGACAGCCAAAATACAGGTATTGAAGTTAAGTAATATTATTTCTTTAGCTTGTTTATTTGTTTAAAAGAAGCCCCATTTCAGGAATGTGACGGAATGAAACAGCAAAAGGGAGGTTCCTCTCTCGGGAATCCTCAAGTGTGCCATGCAAGTAAACACTGCATTCCTAAAATTGTGTTTATTTGCTCCTTCAGAAAAGCATAAGCAACACTACCTTTCTCCACTCTACATCTTAACACACAGAGACTACAAACTCTGCAGTCTGAAAAGTCCTTGGCACAGCCATCAACAACTCTGAATATCTTTTGATTAATGAATCACCTGATAGCAGGTATTAGCAATTCCCAGCCTGACACTATCACCAATAGTAGATGAAGATACCAAAAGAGAACAAAAGAAAACATAATTTCTCTTAGTGAGGCAACGTTTCAATTTCACCAAATTTTTAGGCACTGAGATTTCCTAAAAAGATGGGAGTATTTTTCACTATCTTTGTTCTAATCAGTTTTCAGCCATGCTCTTACAATGAAGATGCAAAATCTTCAGAAGTTCGGTTCTTTTCCAACTTGGTACTTCACAGTAAGGCAAATATTATAGTCTTTGCTCAGGTGCAATACTTGTACGAGCTAAAAGAAGGTTAAAAAAAAAAAAAAAGAACCCAAAATTCAGCAATGACTTAAGCAACGTCTGGCGCATAAAAGTTTAAGAGCCATAATAAAAGTGGCTAGCACCTGGGAGATATTCAAATCCTAACATTTCATATGGGTGTGACTTCTTAACTGGCTTCAGCTCCTTAAAAACTCTGTCATGGCTAAAAGAGCAGTTGTACTCTCCTATGCATATGCTTCTGCCTTCCTGTGGGTGAGCAGTGATCTAGTCACTCTGCAATGGCTCTAGTGCCAGCAATGCCACAAAGGGAAGGTCAGGGATAGAGCAGCTAGAAATAAGAGTGAAGCAATTCTCTTCATCATGCTCAGAGCATGAAAGTCACCTCAAGTTAGGGTCTGAGCTAATACCAAAGTTTCCACTGAAATTAGTGTTTCCACTGGCTCTTGGTGATTATATATGTAAACTTCACCTAAAAGGCAGCTAAGTCACAGTCTTTGTGTTCAGCTTAGGTGTGGTACACTAGATGAATTTCATAACCCTGTCAAAATGAGAGTCAGAACAGCCCTAGCTATTTTACAGGTGATAGTGTTTCTGGTAGGGGCAGCCTCCCAGAATGTATTTAATTTGTTTATCTATAAAATATGGGTATAAAATCACCTGCCTTGCCCATACAAGCATGTGAAGCACATACTTCTATATCATGACACAGCTTCAGCTGCATAGGCCCCATCTAGACCAGGGCTTTACCTACATCTGCCTTTGGTCAGACCCAGAGGGGTCCTTAAACACATGCTGTGTACTGAAGATGACTGTTCTGCTTACTGAACATTGACAAAATGCCTGCTTCATAGATATTATATCAAATCAATATTGACTTGATCAGCCTTTTGTTTAAAAGGCGTATGTTTTGTAGACTATTAGTATACATATGTGTATTAGACATGCAGTTGTTATTTCACCCAATTAGAAGAAAATTTAAAATATTTAATTATTAAGTTCTTTTCATAATATGTAGAGTGTCTAAAAATAAAGTGTGGGTGCATTTTACACAGTCTGTGGGTTAGAACTCACTCATTTTAAACACACATTTTTTGTTTATCCTTTAGAGTTAGGTATTCACCTCACAAATACTGAGTTTGGTTAGGATACGTTCTTTGTATACAAATTTTCTTTACCTTGTTCTAAAAAAAATGTTAGCCTACACTGCCATCACAGTAAAGGATAAATGCCTATATACCATATAACATAAACTAACCAAAGTTGAACCTTCAAAAAGAATTATTCCATGAGCAAGATGGGGAAAAATACCAAAGTCATAAACCAGAGGTTGTTCTGAAATCACTTCAGAAGAATATAATTTCTTTGAATGACCCACAAAAACTTAAGTGAGTTAAGATAAACTGTTTTGTCTTGTATAACATGTCATTGTCAATTCCCAGAATTTAATATCCTAAATTTTTACAGATAAAATATAGTACCACCTGCAGGTGAAGCAGGACAAACATTTTCTTACCTGGCATTAAAAGTCATTCCCTCAGGAGAGAGAGAAGTAGACATCTTTCACATTCTTGTATTTTCTGTTATAAATTCCTCACTGGAGAAGCATCCAGAATAACAAAGGTGCTACTACGGAAAATTTTGCTCTTCTTGACAACAGAGTAATTCTTTAGCAGCTCTGTTAAAATCACCACTGTAATGCTACAACAACAGAACACTGGCCAAAAGGAAAGGAAGAAAAACTGAAATTCCACATTTTTGTTAATATACCCTCAAAATGGACATTTCTCATTCTAGTATTGACTGCCTATATTGGAATCTGCAACTTTGTTTCCTTGCCCTGTTTATATGTACAGAATGCAGCATTTTCCTTCTGCTTTGTCCTCACACTGTATGAATTTAAAACTTATTTGTTGGTCACATCAACTTTACAGGACTATGTATCCCAGATCAGAGTCCTCAACTGATACTCTCCATCCCCAAGAACACAGTGCTGGTGGTAGTACTGCAAGTGCTTTAGTGAACAGAAGTATTGCCAGCTACTGAAGTGTTTCAAAAGGGAGGATAAAAGGGGTTTTTTTAAGTTTTGCTAAAAGACATAGGTTGGTCTGTCTCTGAAGCTCAGTCAGCATCTTGTGGGATCCATCCTCAAATTATTACTACTTGAGATAAGCGGCTTTTGAAAGCTGTCTTACTGAAGCTCAAGCTACAGTTACAGTTAAGAAAGGTTCCCTTAGAATGAAAATGGAGATGCCAAAATACAGGAATAAGGTCTAATTCTGACATGTTAGGTTCATTCTCCTAGCAGTAATTAACAACTCTTAGTACTTACCTGTCTACAGCTTCTTTAAAGTGTCCTGTATCCATGCCAGCTTTCTCTGAAGTCACTGAGAACCAAACCAGATGGAATTTTTACCCTGATGTGTACTTTACCACAGCATGGATCAGTACTACCTTTAATCACTGTATTCCCTGTACTGAAAAGGGGGAATATGTCAAGTATTTTGCTAAATATAGCTACTACAGATGGCAAATGTCAAGATTTTAATGACACTCACTTTTCAGCGCTTTCCATCTTCAAAGGGCTTCCCACTAGTTGACATACTTTAGAGTAATGACTATTCAGAACTGCCCTGTGAAGTAAGCGCTAAAAGTATAAAGTTGTTTTCTGGCTTTCTTCTCTCCCTTGAGTTCATCACCCCAAAATCCTTGGAATGGGGGCTGTGTTCAATCACTGCTACATAGTCCTGGCATGTTTAAGTTGTTTCATGAAAACATGGTTAGCAGGTAGGTAGTTTTGCTGCTTGATTTGTGCAGCATTTTACTGTAAGTGAAACAACTGGTTTAGCCTCCAGGCTTGGCAGGGTAGATGTGTGTCTGCCATTTTTAAGGCCTCATTCTTCCCTCTCCTCTGAGTGTCATATCCTTAGACTTCAGTGGAAGCCAGAAGGCAGAATATAGGCAGAATACAGAATATTGCATTTTGACTATAGAGTTAGCTTATCTCTCACCACTTACATCTTGCTTTGCTGTTCTTAAATGCCACACTTCATTCAGTAATACTTTTTCCTTTTAATCCAGCCTTCAAGAATGTATTTCGTAACAGTTCCCATCTATGGGATAATTATGTTTAGTTAGCTGTACTCAACAGTGATGATTTCATAACATGTCACAAACAGGTGCCCATTAAATTCCTTTATTGGAGACAGAAACATTGCATAATTACAGATTTGATGAGAAAAACTGCAAATAGTATAGACTGTTTCCACTGCTAGCAAGATACGGTTATTACAGGATTTATAGACATAAAAATATAAAGTGTTTCTTTCGTGCCAGATGGTCTGTACATAACAATGCCATTAGGAGCGCTTAATTGTGCTTCTACAAAACCTTTAGAGAAGAATGAGGTAGGGTTTCCTTTAGTTTATCCAGTATTTTTTCACACATCTGTCCTTTAGTGCTTTTATATGCTCACATCATTGTAAAATACCCAGTTAACTTTAACATTTGAGAAAACAGAGACCCTTCAGAGGTGTTTACTTCTCCCTCTTAAAGTTGTTAATTTCCCACTGTTTATATGCTACAATTCCAATAAATACTACTGAACCCTTCTAAATGCCTTGAAGGTCAGGTAGATTGGGACATCTGTCTTTCCAAATTTACTGCTTCAACAGAAATTATCTGCAAATAACTTCAGATAAAACTTGTCTCCATCATAGCAAAGAACCTCTACATTCAGTCACTCTTCTACTACAGTAGCCAAGCTAGAGTCCATGCCATCTCCGCAGAAGATGGAGGGAATAGATTCAATCTTTGTCAACAATCTTGACTGTGGACTAGAGTTAATTATATATTTGTCTCCTACTTGCAGTTCTAGTCAACTACTGGGCCATTAGAAAATGCATACAAATTATGGGAACAGAATAAGCCATTGACCTGTAGGAAACATTTTCTCACTCTTAGATGATCTGGAGCATTACCTGTTTATTTTAATCTAATAATTTACTGTTTCATGACATATAACAGTGTGTTTCAGTTTTCACTTAAGATACTAGGGCCCAAGTTATGAAAATGTAGGCACAGATGTAGGTGTTTAAGCAACTGAATACGAGCATTCTTAAATAGTTATAGAAATCTACTATCCTGGTATATACTTGGTATACCCAGGTAGACTCTGTTTTGGACTGAATGAGAATGGTAATGATGTTCTTCTGATCTGTCTTGACTGACTTGGGTAATTTTACTCTCATTCCTTAGTGTAACTGTTCTGGAAACAGAAGACTTTTCACTTTACTGTTTGCTCTGGCATTTGCTGCATGCACTTATTAAATACTCGAGAGTGTACTAGCAGGGTATAGTAGAGAAAAAAACCCTGTTATTTCACCTGAAGAAGTCACAATTCTAGTGATGACCAAATCACAATGGAGTTTTGGCATACAGGAAGAAGGTGATTACATAAAGAATAAGACTGATTTCTCCTCATAAGCTACAGAGACATGATAGTTTAAGATAATAGTTCAGTGATACTGTATCAGAATTCTAGAATGAAAAGCAAAATTTTTATAAAAGCTTTAAAATTTAAAAGATTCCATGTTCACATCTTGATTACTTTGATCAGAAAATGAAAGAAAATCTGTTCTTGCAGTATAGTACCACCTAAGATAACTTCTGAGCTCCACCATCTCACACTTCAATGACTGCTCTAAGCCTGCCAGAATCAAGTACTATGAAGAGTTGACATTATTAAGAGAACCAGCTCTTAGGAACTTTCCCAGCTCTTGCTTAGAAAACAAAAGCACTACTCTTATTTTATCTACTATTCCCTGCATACTTCTTTGGTAAAAAGAAAAAATGACCAATGTTGGAAAACCATTTAGAATGTTGTAGCTAACTATTTCCACAAAGCTGTCTTCTCTTTTTCTACCCTATCTTTATCCAGCAGATATTTTAAAGACTTTAAAATTCTGTATCAAGATCTTAAATACTCCTGGAGATCTTCCTATGAAGAAGCCTTGTTTTTTAAAGCAGGGCATGAGAATTCAGAATTGTATTAAAAATCAGACACAATAAATTAAGTTTTAAGATAAACTAACAGTATAAATTCATATTCAGAGAGAGGAATGAGGATCTAGCCATACTGTTATTAGTAGCAAATTTAAACACCATTATTTTTAGTAAATTTGGTTGTGCTTATCAAGATTTATTTCTATCTGAGCTAATAATTCCAAAATTTTGTTCCACATCTAAGGCCTGACTATTCTAATTCAGTATTGTACCACACCCACTAAGTCCTAATGTACTTGGCTGTTCTAGCTCAAGGTAATGGCTAAATTAGGGTTTTTTTTATGGAGTTGGGGGATATATTTGCCAACTGTTCTATATAGATGGTACCCAGATTTTGCAAGGTCAGGGAAAATATCCTGGAATTCCCATTAATAACCATCATACTCAAAGCAAGACATGGACAGGATTGCTACAACAGTATTTTTATACTGATGCAATACTCCCTTTTGCTGTTATGACCACAAATACCAATACTTATTAAGAAGTTAATTAACTTAAATGATTTAGGACCTATGAATTATTTTTCCAGATGTTGAGGATAGTGACAAAATAGAGTAAAACACAGCTCTCTGACACGTCTCATTGCTCAGTATTGCAGTTTAGAAAATTTGTATTTGACTGATAAAGAAGTCTGTCTCAGTGCTACATGACAACGTGTACCACTAGAACAGTTGTAATCTAATGAGTCTACATTGTTGGGGTACAATGCTTCCTTCAAGAATCACTTCTAAATAAGATAGTACTGTTTGAGAGGTAGAAGTGAAGTCTCAAGATTTTTCTGTATGCTACTTTATATTCTGAACTACATATTTTACTTGTTTATGGGTTCATACAGCAAACCTTAAATGTATTTTTCATGCAAATAACATTTTTCTCCTGTGTAATCAAGATACTTCTATTCTAAAGCAATCCTTGAAATAATGGACTTTACACAGCATCTTCCCCTGCTGCTTAAAAAGCTTTCTGGAAATCTTATTTGATCTGTAGTAAAATAACTTGTTATGCAAAAGTTTGGATTAGAGTGAAAAGTGGTATAAATGGTAGTACTACTACTACTACTACACACTTACAAAGAGGTTAGATAACTTTTCCAGGGTCACAAAGCCAGTGGCAATCTGTTCAGGCATTATATTGGCAGGTGGTAAAGTGCAATTCCAATCCCTGAACACCTGCAAGATGAATAAAACACTTTTTCACTTTTTTTTTTTTTTTTTTAAACTGTCACTATTGCTATTGTGAAAGGACAAAGAATGCAAAATTTGCTTAAATGGTCACTTTTAGATATGAGACTAAGAGACATCATGATAGGAGGCTGGGGAAGGGGCTGCAAGTCTGTGTGGAAGGGAGACAAAGACAGCAAGGAACAGCCCACCTCAGGGCATGCTCAGCCATCATTTATACCTGCACACTTTGCAGTATATGAGCCTGTCAACTAGAGCATGAAAACTCACCATGAGTAGGGTGAATCCCATGCAGAGAGAGCCTATGTGCCATAGTCTGGCAGGCTGTGCTACCATCTCTGTATTCTATTTGACAGCAAGGCACTATCAACAGACAGTTCACACTAAGCAATCTGTTGAGATTATGCAGATTGTTCTGGAGAAGCCACTGAATTCAAGAGGGTTCCTCCTCTAATTAGGCAGCTATGAGATCAGTCCCAGCTGTTTTTCTGTCTACCTCCTTGGAAGACCATGTATTAGGCAGACACTTCAAATAACATGCATTCCAAATTACTCTTTCAAATATCACATTTTTCCAAATTACCATTCTTCACGCTTGAGGAAAAATAAGTATAAAATTAAGTATACAGGAGACACTCAACAATATCTCTGCTGAATTAGGCAAACACTGAACAACAGTTTACCTAGAAAGAGGAGGAGTGGAGGACAACTGCTTTTTGGCTTTAGATAGTTGAACAGGTAAACAATGGCTGGGTAGAGATATCTCTCACTATCTTGCTTTTGGTCTTATCAGACTTCCCTTCTATATACCAGAAAATTCGTGTTTGCTTTGCACTGCTACAGACTGAACAAATTATCTACCCCAAGCAGGAACCTTTATTAGCATTCTCATCAGAGTCTGTCACTGTAAATTCTGAACGAATTTGCACTCATTGCAGTTAAGAATCTAGTTAAGTAATGCCAGTTGCTGAAGCCATAATGCTTGGCATCAGAACAGCTTGTATGAAATGCCAGTTTCATGAAAAGTTCTCTTATTTGAAGGACTTCTTTCCTATGTATGAATCATGCTCACCAAACAGAAAATTAAGGACATGCTCAATACTGAAAATAATAATCAAAAGAATGTAGGAGAGAAGAAAGAACATACAAAAATTAGAGTTCATTATTATAATTTTGAAGTATCAGTGTTTGTAAAACATAAGCATGTGAAAGGCTGAATCTCATTTGATCAACCCAATTAAACATTAAATAATAGCAGCCAATTATGCAAATATCACACAACAATATTAATTTGTTGATCTTTTTTGAACAGTCTCAAATGTTCCTAATTTTAGACTATATTATGTCTTAAATGATCAATTAGCGGAACCATAACTAAGTGATGAAGAATGGATAATTGCTTAGCTATGATGTAACATACTCTTTCTATGTCAATCTGTGGCAATTAAACAAATAGGGCACATGGAGAAAAGATGTGCAGATGTTCTTTTACAATCTATTATTAGCTCAGGGAATGCCACAGTTCTCTCCTAAATTGTAGAGGCGAAAATAGGGAGAATGCAATACCAAATACTCACTCTTATTTACACATATTATTTCTTTCCTTTGGTTAACAGGATAAAAAAGCAGTGGCAGAATGAAGGGTAGGACAGCATGCAATGTCAGCAGAATTTCCTGTACTGTACTGACCCCTCAGCTCCCTTATTTAGGTTTTAAATTTTAAAATCTAGAACCTATTCACCTGGATCCTATTTAAAAAACAAGCACAATTTTCAGTTGACAGAATAAAGCAATTAACCAAGATGTTAAAGACAACAGTTAACACATACACACTATGTGTTTTCATTCTTCTCTGCTAGAAAAGTCTAAAAGCATTTCTGGGGGTCATTCCAGTTTCATCTTTGTCTCCATAAACTCAAAACATGCAGTAAAAGGAAAGGTGTCTCTCTGGTGAGTGCAGGAAAGAATGCAAACCACAGTAAATGAAATTGCCTGGTTTCTTCACATTAAATTACTTGCATCCAATTTAAGGACAGTTTTACACAACTTTTAGATTTACACTGTAGTAAAATAATTCTTCTAACTGGCCCTTATGATACCTTCATGGGGATTTTTGATATATGGTATCTGTCAACTATATGAACATCCTGAGATGTTACCATACAACCACTTTGCCATGTATCTGAAGTTAGATATTTCCGCTTTTCCTTTTGCTGCTAAAGATGAGGCAAACATAATGGGGCAGATTAGATAGTTCAGTAACAGGAAGTCACATGTGGTTGCTCATTACATAATCTTTAGAGCTCCATGCCACACTCTAGTTAAAGGCACTCATTAGTCTTGTCTCATTGAATAAAACTCTCTACCCCACATTGCATCTTGACATATGCCCCATGTTAATTTTTTCACCCATCTATTTAAATAAAAAGAAAGACTACCAGCATCTTATAATACATAGCAAGATACTGAACAAAGACCAGCACACAATACAGATTCAAATGGCCAGAAAAGCAGACACGCTGTACTATTGCTACAACATTTTGTGCTTGCAGTTGTATTCTAAAGAGAAAACAATTCAACATATTTTAACAATGGTTACATTGTCAGAGAGATCCTTCAACTGTTCTTCATTAAAAGATCAGATTAGATTGCAGTGAAAGATAGTAAAATCGTGATTTGAGGGAGCAAAAGAAAGTGATGGCTAAGTAGGGTTGTATTTAAAATCTGACCAAAATTAAAGAGGAAAGCCATAAAGCTACCTTTTAGCAGTTGTGTAAGGCATGGATGGTCTGTTAGAAGTTATATTTTGCCTTTTTAAACTATGTTAACAAGTGCCAGTAACTATAAAGGACTTATAAAGCATGGGAGAGATACTGTTGGGTATTAAAAAAAAGTAAAGCACTAAATATTTCCCTTAATACTGGTGCACCTCTATTGAAAACTATGGCAATAAATATTCCACTTCTTATAGTGCTCCATTAGTGTCAATAAAGTTCCACCAGATTTACACTGAAGTAGCACTTTGGAACATTGATACATAATATAGTCATCCTTTTTGGCAAGTGATATCTTAAAGCTGTTCGACAAAGCTGTGTGCAAAAAGAGAAAGCTAATAAATATTACAGTATGATTGTTAGTGAACATTTGCAGAAGTTATTTCCCTAACTATGGGCTACATGCTCTGTATTGCTTCCAAATAGTATCAAGACTGCATGTGAGAGAGTAGAAGTATATGAAGAAGTATGTACTTAGTCAAAAGAAAAGCAAGGTTTGAATGAAATTCTTTCCTTCTTGTGCTAGATATTTTCTGTGGACAACATAGCTTGTTGCTTAATAGGAAGGCCCTATTAAAGTACACGTGTCAACAGAAGCTGGATACATTTCACAACAAGTGGTAAAGGGGAGAAGAACATTTTGCTGATCTGAATTAGGTGACTGGATGATGAAAGAAATTCCTCAACCTAAAGATCTGGTTCCTGTGAAGAGTGGTCCAACTTTCACAGCCAGTTGTCTAATCTTATTTTCTAGACACTCACCTGGAAGGCAACACTGTGTCCACAGTGCCCAGCTCTGTGCTAGGTCAGACAAAGGGTAATTCTTGCCTTATCAGGGCATGACCAAGTCCTATAAGTCATACATGGAAGGATGTATTCAACTACTAGAGGTATGCATTGTCCAAGCAGCCACTGCATATCCCTTGGAAGAAAAGGCAATAGGCCAACAGGGAGCATCTTGCAGGCTAGATCATCTCAGATAATTTTGGCCTAAAGAACAGAACTGTTATTTGACAGAGCGTGCATGAGGGGATCTAGAGAGCTATGCAAACTCAGCAATATATCATACAAGGAGAGTATGAAAGGAAAGAGCGTATGACTAAACCTGATTGTTTCCCAAACACAGAGCAAAAGGCAGAAAAATGGCAATAGAACCCTATGGACAGCTAACAGGCAAGGTCTTTGTGTTATGTGACAATGTGCTCTGCTGGCGGTGGCAGTTAAACCAGATGGAAGAACAGTTGAAGAGCATTTTACAAGTTTTCAGACTGTACACAAGACACAAGGAGACACTAAGAAAACCATTAGGAAAGTTCTATTGCGAACATTTAGCACCTCTACCAAGAAGACAGGCTTCTACCAACAAGTTTATAGTAGAAATCAAAATGATTGTGTTCACATTTGCTGGATTGTGGAAACAATCATCCTGGGGATCAAACTGACTCAGAAACTACACTATACAGTCAGCCACAGAAGTTGTCTTTATTCATGTCTGTTGTGTCTGGAGGGTCTGAACTCTTCCACCTTCACGATACCAGCACTGCCCAATCACTGTCTTCTCTTCCATACTGAAATGAAGCAAAAATGAAGTTTAAGAATAAAAATTAAAAGTAACAGTGCACAATTATGATAACTTTTTAGGTCTATCCTCATAAAGATTCATATACACAACACTGATAGTAGTTTACATTATTTCTTATGCCTTTATTTCTGTCTTTGATTTGAGTAAAGCCTAGAGGCAGCTTAAAGCTTTATTCATCTTCCAATAAGTAGACTAGGAAGGGATGATACTGATACTCACTAGAGATGATCCAGAATAGTACTGATTCACTAGAGCCTTCCATCAATTTAATATAATTATTCCCTGAGGTCAGTTCACTAATTCATTCATAAGTATGATCAAGCTCCAAAAACCAAACACATTTGGTTGTATTTATTTTTATTTTCAAAGTGGCTTTTTATTGCAGGATTCTGACTGAATGTGAAACAAAAACCATCACAAATACCACAGAGTACAATTAGAGAGAATTATAACCCACATAAAACAAGTCATCTTTCCATATGCAAACCAACAGGATCACCAGGCAGAAATTAAGGTAACCTACCACATGGAGCTGTATCCTTTCCAGGGGAGGATACAGTCCCAAGGAAGCACTTTTGATTGTTAAACTGGCTCCATGTTCTAAAGTTCTTTGTCACCAGTGCTGTAAACAATGCTCCAGTGAGCCCCAAAACCCCACATATGGCTCAAGTCTGTAAGTAAAGCAGAGGTGGACAGACTAGTGGCAGAAGTAAGCTGGTAGCCTTTTCCCTCATAGTACCATGTTCAGGGAGTTTGAAAACACTTTTCACAAAGGAATAAAGACTGGTTTTAGTGTCTTTATGTAGGCTGAAAAGATCACTTGATAATTTCTCAAGAGAGGACAAAAGGAAAGTTCCTCCAATCTAGGTTCTGCATCAGCAGAAAAAGAGATAAAGGGACATTAAAACAGGGAAAAGACAACAGCTCCAAATGAGGATGAACCAGAAAACCACACTTCTAGATCCACAAAGGAATGATGTTCAGTGTGCCTGTGTTTTACTCTTTACTTCAGCAGGTAAAGTCTCTAAATGACCTCCATATGTATCACATCTACTTTTTTTTTTTTTTTTTCCATTACTAATTCTGCTGCTACCATTCTGCAGTCTGCAATGTGGTGGACTAAGCACTGGTATGGTGCTACACAGGACCTTGAATGATTTACTTGTTCAAAGGATTTCCATCTTACATTCCCAGGTGTCAGCATGGTTGCCTTGGGAACTCTATCCAAGGAAAAGCAGATGTATCATTAGTTTAACCACAAAGCACTGGATTACCCTCATATGTGAGGAAATTTTGCTGAGGATGGAAGCAAAGAGAGAAAAAAAAGAGATGTCTTTGACCTTCATATCACTGCTTCTCAGAGAAAAGATGGCACTCCTACCTCCCCCAAATCCAAAAGCAGACAAAGGCCAGGGAATTATTTGTAAATTTTGCTGGCTTTAGGTAGTAGTATCATCTAATGCTGTGAAACGGACTTCAGAAATTGCAAGGGTTGGTCTGAGTTGCCATTTGACTATGGTTTCAACTTGCTTCCAGAATTAAAAGGGGAATGAAGATGCTGTACCACAATCAAGATGTTTTCATTCCAGAATAAAGCCAGATTTACCTTCCTTTTCTGATTCTGTCAAAGAATTTGTGACCTCAGGCTAGTCAATCCCATCCCTCTTTTCCCCCACCAGAGGTCCTGCTTTATAAAAATTAACACATACACTCTCCTTCCCTGGTTGTTTTCCGCTGGCCTACCCATTTAGATTATGCAACTATAAGAAAGACAGGGTTTTTGTCTAAATGTCTGTTCACTGATGTCTTGATTGCAGTGTTTAAATGTATTTGATATAATGTAGTATAAACAATATATCTTGCCTTCTATCCATCCTTTCCAAGTTGCATCTGATCTACACTTTAAAGAGTATAGCAAAAAGCTTGTTTATTCTCAAAGCATGAAATTGAAAACCACAAAAATATCTGAGTGGTATTTCAGTGAGCATATTCCCAGAGAGAATCTCATCTCTAAATCTTCTAACTCAAGTGGTTATAGAAGATAGTGTACTATGACTAATTCATTCGTGAGCACACCATTACTGTATACAATGTAAATTGTTTAATCTAAAATCTTTATTAGTTTTTAGTAATCGTGGTTTCCACTCAGTGATAGGAAGGGAAATGTATATCTTACTGCTGCTACTGCCTCTCTCAACTGGCATGAGAAATGGAATCAGTTCTGCCCATGAGTTTCTAATTTGACACTCTAGCTCTAGTTCCACTGAACAGCTGTTCAAATCAAAAGAAATCCTGTTGAACACAGAAGACTTGCAAAAGAACAATGAGCAGCATGAAAACAGACTTGGAAACACAATAATGAAGAAAATCTGAAAATGTTAAAAAATACTACATTTTACACAAGGGAATCAGTATAATGATATTGGATATGGAGCCTTGCACCTCTTGTTCACAGTTTCAAATGCAGGACAATATTGGTACTGAGAAATTTTACTTTTTTACAAATGTCCATTGTCCCACATAAGATGGATACATTGCCCTAGTTGAGGCAACAGAACAGTACAGCGACCAAAGATGTGATTGGCTGTATTTCCATTGCATTTTATTCTTCAGGAATTGAATGTTCTTTGGAATAACCACCTCATCCTGTCCAAATGATATGACAGTAGTCCAATGATACTGCAAAGAGATCTTTTTTTTTTTCTCTCCTGTAGAATACATAAAACATCTTTGTGAAAGATCCTGAAAACTCCCCTGATATTTTAAGAATATTACATGTTCCATTTTGTGTGTTGCAGCATTGTTTTCTGTATGACAACCTGGGCTCCATTTGGATATGAGCTCATCTCTCCACAGATAAAAAAGTACAGAAACACAGCCAGCAACCACAGATAGATTCTTAAAGAGGAAGCAGCCATCATTTTCTTTAAAATCACATTTCTATTAATGAAGTATTCTAACTCTCCTGTGTTTTTTAAAGAAGAAAGAAAACACAGAAGTAAACATATACATAGTAGTCCAGCACTTTCCAGGAGTGATGGATTTACTCTTGGCATGTAAACATGTGATTGTTGAAAGACGAAAAAGTCCGTATGCGTAGTTGTAAAGTAAAAAAGTCCAACAAAGATAATGGTTAGAAGCAATCCACACCTTTTCAGCCTCCTCCTGAGCCTTGGGTGGGGGTGGAAAAGCAGGGTGAGCAGGAAGACCATGGGAGAAAGCCTCAGGGAGCAGGCTGGATAAATTTGTCTTAACAATCCACTCACTGTCTATTGGCCAAGGGAGAAAGAAATATCTTCCAGTGTTGTCTTCTGAAATAGAATTCTGGATTTCACAAGCCATTCTTCTAGAGAAGGCACACGCTTGTCTTATGACACAGATTGCTAAGGCAGTATCTATTCCTACACATAACAACAAGGTGCTAGAACTGGCCTCAACGTTTTCTGATGCTGAGCTGTTCCATGACTGCAATTAGAAGGAATTGATGGAGACTCAGACTGATTATAAATTGTTGAAGGCCCTAAGATATACTGAAAAATCATAACCTAGATATCAGAAGATAACACAGGAGTTACACAACTAGTTTTAGACATTAAAAATAGATAAATTACATACTAACAATATGGTTTTAATACAGAACAGAGAGCTATGGAAACAATGATCAGTGTGTATCACATTCGTGTATAATAAATAAGTCTGGACATATGAAAACAAAAACAAAGTGATGGACACCAACTGTTATTTTAGAGAGGTGCATCAGGCACTTGGCATGAGGAAGATGAAATAAAACTGTGGTATGTAGTGGGATTCTGGAAAAAGGCTACTGTGTATTCTTATAGTAAGATGATAAAAATGTTAGATGCAACTGAGCTGAGAACATGGAGTAGTAAGCAATAAATGCCCTCAGTAAATAATAAAATCTAGAACCAAAGATGCCTATGCTTCTTCACAGCTATCAGTCCTACTGTTTGAAGAGAAAGACCTAGATCCCAAGCCATTACAGTTGGTACAGCTGATAAAACAGAAACATGATGGGTGAGTGTCTCTTTTTGCCCCCATGAAAGTTAGCTCAGTCTCCAACACAAAGGTACCAGAATATCAGGAATTTTGATTTCCTCCCTGATTTGCAGTCAGAATGTCCAATACTATTCTAAAGAACAAGAGATGCTGATCCCATGTTTTCCTCCTAGAGAGCAGTTAAGTGCTCTTGCTGCATCATTTGAGCTACAAGTCTTAGGAGGGCAGGGAAGCCGTCATGCTGGAGACTAGCGGCTTTGAAAGGTAAAAACATGTGGAGAAACAAGAGTACAGAAGAGCTACCAAAATGATATGAGATAGCCTGACTACTCCTTGTCTAAGACTGCTTCACCCTACTTGAATTAAGCAATGAAAAAAAAAAACTTGCAGTGAATAGAAATGGATTTACGCTTGGACTGCAATATAGCACAAAATGCTAAATAAATAACATTACATAAGTGAACCTGCTTGTCATGGGATTTTAGGTGGGTCAACATATGACAGCAGACTGCAATTCATGAGTAGTTTTTGTCTGGAGTCTCATCAGAAGAAATCTCTGTGAGATTATTTCTACACACTAGTAAAGGGCCTGTAAAATGGAAAGAAAAATCAATTTTAGGACTCTTCCTTACAAAGTTCTGATCATTTTATGGGATTCATAGAGTTGTTATGTGGTACAGTACATCTCATAATCTTTCAAGAAGATTCTTAGTTCAGGGCTTACTGGCAGGAAGATAAAAATTTTAGTACCAAACCTGAGAAGATCTTTAGCAAAAAGCTACAAATGTAGAACAGTAACCATCAGACTTGATTTGAAAAAATCATGTCAATACTGCAAAGCAGCTGCTATCAGATTATAAATAAATGGTCTTGTAACTTGTCAAGACCTACTCCTATTCCCAATTCCCCCACACCATAAACTACACTAAAAAAGGAAAAGAAAACTGGCATCTTAAATAAGAAAGGCCATCACATGCTGCTCATTGTCTTTACCTGTAATGGTATTGACTGCTATGCCCAGGCATGGAGGTCCAGCACAGATTCCAAATAGACTTTGATATTTAGCAAATCACAGAGTAAAGAACAGTTTTAAGAACAAGAAGTGACCATGTGATTGGAAAGATGCTGAGAAACAGAAATGATCGGTTGGCTGTGCCCAGTGAGTGCTTACTTCTACACCCATCTCTTTACTGATTAGCCTATATTCATTTGTGATTGTGGTTATTAAGATGCTGCATAATGTTATTTTTTCCCTTCAAAAGGAACCTATAACATCAGTACTGGATTTCACTGATAACAGTAATATCTTACAACTCTCATCCAGCTTCCAAGATGAACAAGTTAAAAATATATCACTCTCCATCCATATCATACTTTCTCAAGGGAAAAAAAAAAATTGATAGAACAACCAAACCAAACAGAAGAGTCTACATGAATTTATAATGGTGCCAAAGCACCACTATTAAAAATATTTTTTCTGATGTTTTCAAATGTTCACGTTTTATTATTTTATCTGCTTAAAGAAGAGGAAGCACCTTACCTGTATATCACTCAGCTTATTGAGGAAACGGGTTGCTAACTGAGGTCCATTCTCCATAGTTGGAATGTGCAAATGCTGACATTGAAAGGGGGAGGGGGGGCGGAATGGAGAGAACAACATGAAATAATAGTTTCTTGTACACATGAATACCTTAGGGTCACCAAGAACTTAAATAAATACTTATCAAGCTTTCTAGCCCTCTTTACAAGTAGGCAAGGATTGTTGTAAAGTTTTTTATAGGAAGGCATGCTGATGCTAATCAACTTAGATTAGTTGAACTGTTAGGCTGTTTTTAAACAAAGGTTAATCTAAGACTTCCAAAAGATCTTTCCAAAATGGAAGGTATGTTGTACAGGCAAGAGTAATAACACTATACACAGTATTTAATTTCAAAGTATACAAATTAAGTTTGTGCTGGCTAAACGACATCGTTAGCTTAACAGTCTGAATGCCTGTGGAATTCCACCTGTGCAGGAGAAATTTCCCATATGGTGTATAGGAGGTGGAAGCAGCTGTGCACACTCCTGAAACAGCTCTTCTATTAGAACTGAATTCCCTGCAAAGAGGGATGAGGAAGCGATGAACTTGAGAAGGAAAGAATGCAGTAGCTCAGAAATTTGGTTCCTTGCAAGTCTTTCCTCTCCTCACTTTTCCCAGGTGCCTTAAACTTGAGAAAAAATGTTCAAATAAAAGAAATGTGGGAGAATGTATTTTTCTATATTTTCAAACAGGCTGGGAGCTCAGAACTGTATTTTAATTATTTTTCCTTTTCCCAAGAATGGAGATTTTATTATTTTAACTATTAAAAAAACCTCAGAAGATGAGGGAAAGTTTTATTCTGACGATATAGCAATAATTCACTTGATAAACAACATACTGATACTGTGCATCTTTCCAGGAGCCTCTGGCAGCACTCCTTTTCTATCTTACTTGTGTTTTGCTTCAGCTGCAATTAATTATGATAAAATTCTGAAGAAAGAAGGAAAGGGGTAGGGGGGAAATAAAAACAGAGACATTTTCTTACCTTGCCCTTATACAAAATTTTAGAGATAGGACATACAATACAAGCTGTTCCAGCACCAAACATCTCCTTTACTCTGTTTTTTTCCAAGGCAGCTGTCAGGTCACTCATGGTGATGTATCGCTCAGACACTTTAAATTCTCTCTGCACAAGAATAATCAACCACAAAAATTGTAAGAAGTTTAAAAATAGTTGTGGGGTGTGTTTTTTGGTTTTGTTTGTTTGTTTGTTTTGTTTTTTTCCCCTATGTAGAAACATTTCTACTACAACTACTAGCCTAGGGTCTATCAGTCAAGTTTGGGCTGTGATCTTTTCAAACCTCCCAGTATCACACATGATAAATTCTAATCCAAAGAATAACCTTCATGGAAGCCAGTGGCTTGTGAGATACAGTGCTGATGGTAAAATGGCACTTCCCTCTGATTTGGTACAGAATATCAATATTGCATTAGGGAATAATACAATAGAATTTGTCATGAGTTATGTGACACAGGATGTGACTACTCATGGTATCTAGCATGCTAGAGTTTGTACAAAAATTACTCAATTATGTTAAGAGAGCTTTGCACCCCACCCTCAGACAATTCCTAAACAAAATACATTCTGTTAATTCCACCTGCAATGACAATAAGATGTGATATATTTCTTTAATCACTGATGAAATTTCACACTGTAGCCTGCACACAGCTGTCACATACAAAAAATAACTGTACTGCAGGTATGAGTAAAGCAATTCACATCGGATAGTCTTAACATAGGAAGTGTTTTATGTTTTACAAGTGTTGAAGAATGTGTAGTGACTGATTGAGGGGATGTGTTTAAAGAACAAAAATAAAATCAAACTTTGAAATTTTCATTTCATGGATTTATGTGGACTTTATTGTCCTATCAGACCAAACTAAAGATTAGCCCTTGTTTTATATGCAAGCTTTGTAATATGGAACAGAGATGCTTACAACAGCAGAAAACATGATTAGGTCTGGAGAGGATAGTATATGGAGAAAGAGGCATGGATACTATGTAAGCAGAATTTCAGTTAGGTTAGGGAATGGAGGTCAGAAAGAAGAGTAGAAGACACCTGATTATTCAAGAGGACTGAGATGAGAGTCTGGTAACTCACAGACAAGCCCTATAAACTGGGAATATCTGTCTGTGCTGAGAAGTGAGCACATATATCTACTCTAGGGGAGTTCCAATATGAATAAAGACGCATAAGAGTTCAGTGCGTGTCAAAAAGTGGCACACATGCGCTACAAAATACATGCCTAGCTCTCTTTACTGAAGGTTAGATTTAAGTGATAAAAATGTGAACTGTATTTCAGGAACTCTTCCAGCTACAGGTGGTTGAAAGCTGAGTTAATACCAGGGGGAAAGAATAACACGCACCTCTGTTACTCCTATTACTCCTCCCTAAACATAAGCCTGACCAAACCAGGAGACAGGATACTGGGCTTGATGAGCATTTAGCTGTATTGTAGTCTTATCGAAAATGCAATAAAACCTTTGAATACAGTACACGCAGAGTGAACATTTTGCTGCATTTCAAGATATAAGGTAGTCCCAAGTGACTAAATAAGTACTTTGATGGCTACACTACAGAACTGGAACCTGGAAGAAGACATAGGACTTCAAGACTGTGGCTGGATTTTAGACTACATGCTAGTTATTAGAAATAAGGGTGGAACCAGGAGAACTAAGTGGAGAAATAGTGTGCTGATGACTGAAGTATAGCTGTGGTCATGCTCAATAATTGTTTGCTTCCTTGCTTTAAGTAGCTGGTACAAGTGGTTTTGATGAGAATTTTCATGTTAAATACTAAATGGAGCTACTTTAACAAGCTTAGTATTGTTCTGTGTAACAGGTGTGGGTATTTTGATGATGTTGTTGGGAATCTATGAATTAGCATACTCTTAGTTCATATTTAAATTAAGGGATTTGACCAGATCAGTTGAACTTCAAGATACTGAGCACCAGGAATGCTTGTTTTTGTCAATGTGATAACACGGTAGTTGAAACCATTATGGCCAAGGTCTAAACACTTACCCAATCGCATGCCAGATCCAAAATGCTTTGTCTTGTCACTCCTGGAAGGATGATGCCATCTAAAGGTGGGGTTGCCAATTCATTTTCTGTCAAACAAGAGAAATGGAAATGCTGGTTGAAAACCAAAGAAACTGATATTACACCAAATAAGAAAATTAAAAAGAAGTCGAATTATGTCAGGAATGATCCCTACCCAGTAAGATGCAACATTTGTCAGAGTTCTATAAGAACACGGGTTACACAAATTCAATTCCAATAAGTTGTTATTGCGTGTTTGTAAACTTTTGAGTACACTTCAGTGGGAAGAAACATATTTAATACATCGATAAATACATGGCTTAAAGCCTAGTAGTAGGTTTTATTCCTGTGTATTATGGATTCACTACTGGGAACCACTGAATGGCTCAGTCTTCAAAATCAGAATAGAGAGTCACAAGGGAAAGCCATGCCTAATAACCCCAGGGCATAGCATGACTTTCCCTGAACTGCTTTACTTAATATAGGAACATAGGGTTCAGTATACCTACATCGTAGCATTAATATGAAACATCGACGAGAAATTTTGAGGCCCATTTACGAACAAGCAAAGCAGTGGAAACCTTGCCAAATCCATCTTGACAGGAGACTTCCTTGATCACCTTTTGCCTTAGTCTAGACATCCTATTTTTCCCCTAGTTTTCTTTTTATACAAAAAGAGCAGCCCTAATAAAATTCCAAATGCACCAACAATTCAAATTGTTTAACTACTTTGGTTTGTTTGCTTGTATTTCTGGTTTGTTTTTGAAAAAGAACATTAGATAAATCACCTTACATAACTAATAAAACAGTAGATAAATGGTAATCCATACTTGATAAATACTTAAATTACAACACAGAAGTTTGTAGTCTTTGTTCTTCCATCTGACCTTTGCATCAAATTAGTCTTTCTCATTTTAAACCATCACTTTCATTAAACCATCACACAGTATACTCAGTGGTTTGTATTATCAGAGAATACTGTCTCCTTCAGACAGCCAGGCTCTTTTAAGACAGTCTCAAATTTGCACTGAGAAGACATCTACAGTCTTCCAGTAATACTCTTCTATTTTTTTTCTAACCATTTTCTCTTCCCAATGAGAATCCGTTATTTTTCATGATCTTATAAGTATACTATCCTGCTCATTAAATCCATAAACCATTATGTCTTTTGATTCATTTTTACCTAGTCACATAAACGAACAAGATATGTATCTTCATGGTTTTATAATGCTCCCTTATCCCTACCCACAAAACATCACTGAATCCAGGCCTGTTTAAACCAGTCTCAAAGGAGAAGCTGTCTTAAAAATGTTTCTGTATGTCCTGTGAAAAACTTGCAACTGGGAAGAGAGAAAGAGGGTATTCATCCTTGGACTGAGAGAACAGGTTGAGTTCAGCTGTATAATACTCCATTTTCAACAGTCAGCTAGATAATTTTGTGCACAAACACTGCGTGTCAGCCACTGCATACACAGCTCTGTACTGACTACAGCATGGGCTCTCTCTTGCTCTGCAAAAGGGGGCTTTGGGAGCTGGGGTGGCATGGGGAAAAAGAAAGATAAATAAATGGAATTGTTAAGTGCATCTGCTACTCACTGTCCATTCTCTCAGGAAATGTCTGTTACTTTTTAATGTAGCTACCTCTGTATTTACTCATTTGTAATAGAAGTTTTTCCTACCTGTACTTCCATGTTCCTTCCATGTTCCTTCCATGAGGATCCATACACACATAAGTAATAGATGTAAACTGGCTGACAAAATGTATAAAAAAGCTGACCTAGAACAGGCTATATATTCTGATCTGGTTTGACTAACCAATAGTGCCATTCCCTAACTATCCCAGACTCCTAAGTACAGCAGTGGTCTCTTCTTTCTCATACAGTCAGGAACAATAGATTTTCTTTTTTGGAATCTGTCTAGCAACACTCCTTATCTTGATCCATGTCTGGTCCTAATTCTGGCACAACTGTCAAAAGAAGAGGACTTAAAATCTTCCCATGAGCCACAGGGCTCACCTCGTTCTGAACAACTGAAAACTTGATATTCTACATTTGTGATCCAGTCATATAAAAACGGTCCCCTTCTCTAACAGAAAACTTCAAATAATGTGGACCTTGATACCAAACACTGTGACTACACACCAGATAATGTTCTCTGTTTGGTCATGCTGCCACATATCTTGGCCAGGATCTGTTTAAGTTCAACAACATATTTAATTGATGTGAACTAGTTTGAAAAAGTGCCAGGACAAACCAGCTGCCAAACAGCACCGAGCAGACAGGACATGGGAGTCTCAAAATGTTTCAAACAGCCTGCTCTGCAGAATTTTGTCAAGCATACATATGATGACTACCAGCCTGGGGCCACCCAAGGAACATCTGCTCCCCTGGTATCCGGCAGAAATGATAATGCTATACAACATGGCATTCCAAAAAACTTGTCCTCTCTGTGAATTGATGCCAAACCAGGCTCCATATGACATCAGTTTGTCCATCTCCAAAAAAACAAACTGTGAGCTCAGACTCCATTTGCCTTTAGAATTATTTTGATGGGCTAGAAGCCTTAAAATGTATAGCAGAAAAAGTGGGGGAAAGACATTTGAAGGAAAATGTCAGGGTTTTTCTTCAGTTGACTACTGTTACTGTTATAGTAATAGCACTATCAGTCCAGAGCTCTATTACACCAGGCATGGCATAGGCATGCTGTAACAATGAAACTCCATCAGGGGATTTTTAAAATGAGGTCTTGCTTATTACACAGTTTCAATTTTTACACACTTGTATTTATGAACATAGAGCAGATAAGATTCCAAACATAGGATGCCTTCAGTACTAGTCATGCTATAACAATGCCGAGAAATTCACCAAAATATATTTGATACCAAATGAACTTCAGAGTCACGGAGAACCCAGAAAGCCCTGATCTTGCTATTATTAACAGCTGACTTTCTCTCCCAGTTTGTTCTGGACATTTCTATCTCTTTCTCCTTTTTTCCCTCAGGCTTTTATTCCACTCTCCCCTTATGCAAGCACTCTCTTTGCATCTCTGACAATTTACTTTCCTCAGTCACTTTCCTCTCCTTCACTTTTTCTGCCATCTCATTCATCCACTTGTCTCCCCTCCATGCTATTGCTATGGCTTTCTATTAGAGCAGAAAGTACAATCCTTATTCTGTTAAATAGTCTACTTGTACAAGACACTTGTGCAGCACAAATAACCCTCCACCTATAGAACACTAAGCAAACTTGCCTGATATTTTACCTGAGTGTTCCAGAGAATCTTTCAACATATTTGTTTTTTAATTTATGTAAGCTATATTGAAGTGGACACTATTAATCCCCATTTTAATAACACCACAAAAATACTGAGTAATGCCTGAATGCTATTCACAATGCCTTAATGTTAAAATTAGAACTAGAGCCCAAATGGGTCCAAATCATTTTGAAGAAACTGCATTTTTAGAAAATGCACACAGATTTCATAGTTCTCAACCTTCAGGTTAGACATATGCTTAAATTTTAAGGTTTTCCATAAAGTCAAGCTTATATTTTAGGCAGAAGAACAGGTATTATTAAAGGAAATTACTTTCAGTGTTAACAGCTTCTTGGGATTGTTATGCGCACTGAAGAGGCAGGTGGAAGGGTCTGTAGGGTGACCAAAATTTTTACTTTGTGAACATAAACTGTAAATATTATTTATGAATGAGATGTCACACTCCTGTATTTATGCAACAGCAGGGACCCAGATTTGGTCATATTATAAACCTCAGATAGAGCATCAGTGGGCATACAAGATCACCACAGAGCATGTCATGCTATTTTACCAGAAATTGAGAAGTTTCCTCCCCTACTCCCTCCTCAATGTTAAAAATGAAACATTTTTCCGGGCTCCTCCTGCCACCCAAGACAACATTTCATGTTTAGTCACAATGCTGTAACTGAAAATACATAGCAAAGGCTTGCAAGAAAAACCTACTCTCATTGGAAGCATATATGTCCTTTAGTCTAGTCTTTACTGGGCTGGGTCTTTGATTTGTTATAAATCAAGGAGAACAGTTCAGACTACTTCTGAACATACAAAGAAGGGCATTTTCCTTTTGATGATGATCTGCAATTTCTGCCTCACTCTTTTTATGTTAGATCCCTCTCTCAGCTGCATAATTTGCATAACAAAACAAAACCACAGCCTAAGTAAGTATCCTTTGTGAAGTGACAGAACATAATGGAAAACACTTTTTAAATCACAATGTAAAGCCATAGGCAGATATGTGATGACATACATTGGCAACAAGAGTGATTCTCAACCAAAGATATCTTAAATTATGCATTAATCAACACACTGGAAAACACCGAAATACTCCAAGGATGTTAGTGACCACATCATGTGAAATGGCAGGTTTGCCAGTATACACTTAGCTTGGGTGGCATGAATTACAAGTTGTTTGCTACAGCCACCTCACAATAGTGCTATTCAGTAGTGCACTGGTAACACAGTGATTGGCAGATCTTTGGAACAGTACGGTGCTGCAGCTGGATAATTCCAGCATATTCCTGGTTTAAGTACAATGAGAACATTGATTTCTAATTATGTCCTCCCTTCTGTGTCTATTCCCTGGGCAGAATGAGCCAAAATCTATTTTCATGTCTCTCCAGCAAAGTTACACATGGCATGAATTTGGCCATCTATCTACACTGACAAGTCTACTGCTGCTCTAACAACAACAAGATTTCTTGTAATTTATAGTTTCATTCAAAAGACTTCACAGACTCATTCAACACTGAGGGAGTATCATCCTTGTTCTTACAAAAATGGTGAAGACTTTGCAAAAAAACAAGTAATGACACTGGACATGGGAGACTGGTACCTGGATTCCATTACCTACAATATTCAAAGCACACTGTTGTCCCCACAGAATGTTGCTTCTGTACTGCACCTGAGCACTGTCAGAAAAATGTCAGTTTTCAAGGGTATCCATGGCACTATGACAAAATCAGAGTCTGAACCCTGCATCTGCTGCCATGTAAAAAATCAGTAACTTAATTTTCATGGAGTGCCATCACTCATGCAAGTCAGGATGTGTCCTTTTATTCACTTGTCTATACATTGGCTCAGTCCTTTAAGGACTCTGAGTCATGTAGTCTTCTGAACCAGTTCTGAGGCACAGCTATCACTTCTCAAGCACTGAATATTTGCATGCTAAATGGGTGTTTCTGAGATGCCTAAATAGATACTCATTAACTAGATAGTTTTCTAATCAGCATGTATGTTGCTCAGAGATAACTGTGGGTACAAAAATAGCTTCAAGAATGATGGTTTATCTTGAAAGCATCATTTGAACATTAGTGATGTGTAACACTGAAATGTTTATCTCTCTCTCCCTCCACTCAACAACACTTCAAACTCTTCAAAGAATGAACCAAGTGCTTCATCAGTTGGATGCTGAAATACTTTTGGTTATGCTTCAGGAACTTGACTTGCCACAGAGTGATGAAGGGAGCCACTTATGCCCAAAGCCACAGAACTTGAAAGGTTACACAGCTGTAAGGAGTCTTTAGTATGTCTGCGCTTTTTCAGATACAACACCTCCTTCAAGATCAATCATGCTGCTAGAGTTGACACCAAACCTGTAGTGTGACTTTGTGTATGGCTAGACTTAGTATGTTATCAGTAGGCAGTACTCATAGCTGCTCCAGAATCTTATCTTTCACAATGGTGTAACTAAGTCACCTATGGGTATTCAGAAGAGAATGAACACTTCCTTTGTTAAATCATCTTCACTAAGAAGATTATGATCTGCACTTCAATAACAATTTTGTGGATTATGGTCCCAAATGTCTACTCTGTTAGAGTTTTCATGTTTTATGTTACTATACCTCCATCTTCATTTATCCAGTAGAGAAAGAGATTCATTGTTCCAACTTCAGTTATTTGGTGATCTTCTCCATAAAGCCACAAAACCTGCTGGCAGCCTAAATCCAGGGCTTCTTGCTGGGCATAAATAGAAGAACCATAATTCCTTCCAGAAACAAAAGAAAGAGCAAAGAGTTCTGAGGATCTGGTTGGGTATTTTCTCATTTCTGTGCAAGGTTTGTGCACATCTACCTTATGAGCAAGTGCTCTGCACAGTCACTACTTGTCCCTGGAATATTTCCCTTGCAAGTACTCTACTAGCATTTTACTAGTTCATTTGTATCTACAACCCAAAAACTTTGAAGAGCTGAACAGCATCAACAGCTAAAACATATCCATCCAAATTGCCTTAAAAATACATCTTGTTCCATTCTCTGGACATTCTAATCTTTGCGATTAGATACCTTAGGAAAGCATTTGTCTTTAGCAGTTGGCATTCTGGAGAGAGAGTAACAATTCTCACCCAGCTCATGATTTAAAAAAAAAAACCAAAAAACAAACCCCAACAAAACCTCATCTCCTGTATGTCAGATGAACCTCTTGGAACACAAAAATTACCAGAGGTGAGTGATTTCTTTTTTTAATAAAAGATTCATAGAACTAGTAGCTACAGGATCTGCAGATGGGCCTTGATGAATTTCATATCCTTGAGGAGTAACTATTTCCTAAAATACTGGCTTCCAGAGTGAACCTGACTGAATGCGTTTACTCTGTAGCTGTTTTGCAGGGGGGAAAAACCCTTTCACTTCTGATATTCAACCAACCATCAAGACCCGAAGTCAGCAGCTAAAAAGTGCTGACCAATGCTGGAGTTAATTTCACATGTCTGGGCACAAATCAAATAAGTAGTGACTCCAGATTATGCCTTTCTTCACAGTTGAGGTATGAAGGATACACAGGAAGAAATTAATATTAAATAATATATAACTAAAACTAAGCAAAAACTCACAAAGAGTAAAGGGCTCAGAATATCACAGTGAAAAAAGGAAAGCTGTTTCCTTGCCCTTTGATTATTCTGCTAGCTCAGTTGAGCAGCAATTGACAACTACTAACTTCCTGCTTGGGAAAGAAATTCCCAGGTAGAGAAAATCAGCCTCATTTAAACCAAAGACCAAGAATGTATAATCAAGTCATTTATTTAGCCACATCCACGTTGCTTGCTCCAGTCAAGTCCTAAACAGCTTCACTCTACAAATCAAGTACTTGGACATTAAAAATTATGTTTCTACCTAACTAGTGCTTTGGTCTAGTTCAGCACAAAACTGCCAGAATATGGTCAACTCAAGAAAGATAATTGTCTCATGCTTCCCCTTAAACACCCATGCTCCCCTAGCTAACTGTAGATGGCTTGTCAGGACAGTCTGCCAAGGAAGGAGGTCAGCATTCAGTGCAGCTCACTACCCAGCTGGCAACAGGCTGCTATACTGAATGCTGCATCGCAGAAGTGGTATCTTTAGTGTCAACTTCTGCAAGGGGAATGACCAAAGTATTACATGGACACCTTTCAGCTCCAGTTCCTCAACTTGAGATGCTGCAAAATTGAGTCTGCAAATAATCCACTTGACTGTAATATCCAAACAAATTGTGCAACTGAATTGTATAAACAGTATTTGCAAAGTACAATTTTGAAATTTTTTTTATAGTATGTGGTTTAACCACTACATTTAATACCTCTTCTGGATTAGATACTTCACTAAAAAACAAATCTTTTGAGCTGTGTAGAAGATGTAAAATTATGTTTTCTTACCCTCCCAGTTTGCAGTCCCCTGTTCCTCCTTTCCAGGCTCTTACATATTTCGGATCTGCCCATAAGGATATTGGATTAAAGCTTCCACTTGCAAAGTAAGGGCCCACAGGGCTCAGTATGACATACAGTAGGGCTTTAGTTGGCTTCTTCACTCCAAGGGAAGGCTGAAAATATGGAATGTAAACAAATCAAAAGTATACTTCACTCCAAACATAAGATGCTGCAAAATTAGCTTTTGAAACACTGCTTTCAGAACTACAGCATGAGAGTGCTTTTACCAGGACAATGTAAAGTACTGCAAGGAAGAGAAAATATTTATACAACTTCCCCCCCCCATCCAAGCAACATAACAACCCTAATTTTATATACTGTCACTATTCACTTACAGGTGTTTCATTTGTCTATATATTATCCTAAGCTTCTCAAATAGTTTAAAGCTTTTGAGAATTCAGAAATTAGGTTAACAAGATACTATATAATTATATGAATTAATCTCAGTAGAAGCCTGCAAAGCCTTCTGGGGCAAGGAGTGGCAAGGACCACTGCTAGCAATAAAAACAGCTAAGGAACCACTGTCAGCTGCATTAGTGATAAGAATTAGCCAATGCCACTTAGAACTGGCATTAGTAGTGTCAAGTGCTGGCTCTGTGAATGGCTGTGTGACAAGCTAAAATGATTTGCCTGCTAGAAATTGTTCACACAACAGCACCATTCCAGGAAATAACCTGGAATGTATCACTTTCTTTCTTTTCCCTTTCTCTTTCAGGGGTGGCTTCTCACACTTCACATCATCACCATCAATACTTGAAGGTGGAGGTGAAAACTTTGGCACTGATCAAAGTCTGAATCCTGTGGTAGGAGACTCTGCTTAACTATATTGTTCTTTGCAAAGCTCAGGACTGAGCACAGAATCACAGAATGATTGAAGTTGGAAGGCACCTCTGGAGATCACCTTGTCCGACCCCCCTGCTCAAGCAGAGTTATGTACAGCTAGTTGCCCATGGTTCTTGGTATCTCCTACGCAACTGAATGTGTTACTACTTTCTCTCCACTCAGAGAAACCACTCTCATAAAAAGAACAAGCTCATCCTTGATGTCTCAGATTATGTCTCCATTGAAAAAATGTTATTGAACTTAAATCATTAGGACCAAAGGTCTAAGCAAAACACTGCACGCAAAACACGGGAAGCTAAACTGTGAGGTGGGAGGGAAAATAATAGTGTAATAACGGAACTACTGGAAAATTTAAATAAGCCTTCCTCAGGTGCTTAGAGGGTTCTTTTGATTTCTGTCTACCTTACTCCTTCAGCAAAACTTCTAACAAGATTAACTAACTGAGATCTTGATATTTTTCCTGATTCTTACATGATCATTCAAAAGACTGGCATGACTGGGTTTCCCAATTGTGCTATTTTTTCATAAATGATTAGCAGGACATTAAACCCAGAAATAACATATGGCATGGTGGAAAGGCAAGATGTGATGGCAAACCTGAAACAAAGCTCAACAGCAAAAGAATTTCCAAAAATAAAAACAGGAAAAAAAAATTCCAATTATTAAAGAGATCCTTCCATCTGAAAATCTGCAACTAGTTTACAGGCATTAAATTAATGAAGTCCTAGAACACATGTGACATAATGCTCATGTATGGTAACTATTTACATATGTGGATATTGCAGAAGAGTAACTTGCCTAGTTGGGAACCATACATTCTTTAGCTTCCTTGTCCTATGCTCTACTGTTATAGGTTTTTTTCTTGCCACTGATTAAAAAAAAACCCCACCCCCCCTTAAAGTTTTAATTAAAATAAACTCATAAACTCCTTGTTTCTAATTCTCTTTATAAATACTATAGGCTCGACTCACAGTCACATGAAACTCAGTACACACTAACACCTAGTTGCTACGGAGCCTCTTATAAGGTCAGGTTTGTCTGGCTTCAAGAATAAATGACACAAGAACTTGTTCTTAGTTCTATTAAAAGTCTCTTGGAACCACCATCTTAATTTACTGGGTAGAATCTTCCAAAATCTCACTAAGGTCAGATGGAGGTATGAGACGAAATCACAAAATCTACAATGTAAATTTCTGTTCCCTCACGTTCTCTCCGGATTATTAGTATTTTAAAGGCATACATTAACATGTCACAAATAACTATCCTTTTAGTACAAAACCAAAGTTAGTCTAAATTTTGCCATTACAATCCTTAATGGCTTTCTGTGCTCTGAATCAATGTGTCCACTAGGTGGTGGTGTGGTCAACATAAATTTGTGAAGTAGTGCTACATGTGACTAATTCAAAAGCAAAACATAAAACCATTTTGCCCCTGAACTGTAATATTGTTGTGTCTAACGATTGCTGCGTATTTCCTTTTATGGATGGAGTCTTTTGCCGTATGCTTAAAGTTAACAGAGGAAAAAAAGTGTTTCACACCTCAGTTCCAATTAAGGTAGGACGGATATACAGGCTGGCAGCAGCTGAGTATGGGACCCACTCCTTTTCCACTTCCACAAGCTTCCGGATGCACTCTAACAGCTCATTCTGGTCAAAACACTGGGAAGGAAAAGCAAATGGGGGGGGGGGG